CTTGTCACCCAGCGATAAGCACTGTTATTCAACGAAATTGACGTTAGAGAGTGGGATAGTCTTACAGATCCGAAACAGGGATGACGGTTTTTGTGGGCGGAGCCTATCTGGAGGCAGAAAATGACGGTTTTCAAGTGGCAGTCTATGGAACCATGGAATAAAAGTCAAAATTCTGACTTTATTCTCGCAATTCCAAAATCATTTCTCACAATTCTAATAAGGAAAAACAACTCGTCATTCTCTCTTTTCCCCTCGGCTATTCTGGCTTTTTTCCCTCAGATTTGACAAACTCACTGCTTTTGAGTTAAGTCGAGTTATAAAGTCCGAATTAGGAGATATAAACTTGCATTTGCGAGAAAAAAAAGTCAGAATTGTGAGATAAAATAAATAAATTATTTTAAATTATGTAAAACTGTTAATAGTAAGGTTTAAATAATATTTCTAATAGTAAGGTTTAAATAATATTTAATGCTGTAACTGTAGGGCTAATACAATACGTCCCCAATGAACAGCATATGTGAATATTATGTAGACCTATTGTTTAAATCGAATTTATGCTTTAAAAGTAGAGTAATCATAACAGTTTTCATCCATAGTATGTCCATTTAAACGTCTGCGTTTAGCTTCAAATGGCGTCTTTGACGACAGTATTCTATAAAAATTATTTGCATTCCGATCTTGACATGAAAAGGCACAAAAATATTTTTTCCTTTTATTCCATGGATTTTACCCATTTATCTCCACTTGTTCCCAGTGTTTTTCTGCAACCACTAAGCGCACACAGCTGCAAGTGACGTAACTGTGACGTCTACTCTGAATTGGTCTATAGTAATGCTTGCTTTAGCAAACACTACTAATTACTAATAATAGTGCAAAACAAAAGACTCATAGAGACTAACATTAACGTTTTTAACATAACAGTTATGTAAAGTTGCACATACAAAACAGCAATCCGTCATCTGCGGACAAAGGTTAATGGCAACTGTCTATTTAGCAGCAGGGACAGGAATTGCCCTGTTCTTTCTGAAACAACGCATATGTTTGTACAAGTATGTAATTTACCTTGAAAGCATTGTATCTGTCGTCCATGGCGTGTTTGATCATGAGGTTCTTGAGTGCAGCTGCAGCCAGCTGTCTGATCTCGGGGTAGCCCTGGAGTCCATCAGCAACCTCTCGCAGAAGCAGACCCACCAGGAAATGGTTTTTGCAGTAATCCTCAGTCAGGCTGAACTCCAAACTCTGATCTGAAACGCATTATTTCAGGGTCAGCGATGTTCTGTACTAGTGATATTTAATTTTTACATTTACAGTGTTATGAATGTTTTTGCAAACTGTGTGGCCTTTTATTAAAAGTAACAAGCAACACTTTTATTTCATGCATCCTAAAGACGCAGTACTTTTAAAGATGCATATATGCAAATGGTGCTTAGCATACAGGTGTAACAGGTAAGGCTCCTGTGTTAAGTCACTGACATTTGTGATAGTGAAAGGCATCCAAATGAAAAGACAGTGTCTAGATGGCTGACTACTTTCAAATGCTTTCTGAAAGCAGACCTCACTGCATTCCAGACATCAAACAACAATAGAAACAGAAACTAAAGAGTGACAGAAAAACCTTGTGCTTAAAGTGAAAGCATTTTTTAAAATTATTACTGAAAATAGATCGTGCAATTATAAAATAATATTTAATGCTGTAACTGTAGGGCTAATACAATACGTCCCCAATGAACAGCATATGTGAATATTATGTAGACCTATTGTTTAAATCGAATTTATGCTTTAAAAGTAGAGTAATCATAACAGTTTTCATCCATAGTATGTCCATTTAAACGTCTGCGTTTAGCTTCAAATGGCGTCTTTGACGACAGTATTCTATAAAAATTATTTGCATTCCGATCTTGACATGAAAAGGCACAAAAATATTTTTTCCTTTTATTCCATGGATTTTACCCATTTATCTCCACTTGTTCCCAGTGTTTTTCTGCAACCACTAAGCGCACACAGCTGCAAGTGACGTAACTGTGACGTCTACTCTGAATTGGTCTATAGTAATGCTTGCTTTAGCAAACACTACTAATTACTAATAATAGTGCGAAACAAAAGACTCATAGAGACTAACATTAACGTTTTTAACATAACAGTTATGTAAAGTTGCACATACAAAACAGCAATCCGTCATCTGCGGACAAAGGTTAATGGCAACTATCTATTTAGCAGCAGGGACAGGAATTGCCCTGTTCTTTCTGAAACAACGCATATGTTTGTACAAGTATGTAATTTACCTTGAAAGCATTGTATCTGTCGTCCATGGCGTGTTTGATCATGAGGTTCTTGAGTGCAGCTGCAGCCAGCTGTCTGATCTCGGGGTAGCCCTGGAGTCCATCAGCAACCTCTCGCAGAAGCAGACCCACCAGGAAATGGTTTTTGCAGTAATCCTCAGTCAGGCTGAACTCCAAACTCTGATCTGAAACGCATTATTTCAGGGTCAGCGATGTTCTGTACTAGTGATATTTAATTTTTACATTTACAGTGTTATGAATGTTTTTGCAAACTGTGTGGCCTTTTATTAAAAGTAACAAGCAACACTTTTATTTCATGCATCCTAAAGACGCAGTACTTTTAAAGATGCATATATGCAAATGGTGCTTAGCATACAGGTGTAACAGGTAAGGCTCCTGTGTTAAGTCACTGACATTTGTGATAGTGAAAGGCATCCAAATGAAAAGACAGTGTCTAGATGGCTGACTACTTTCAAATGCTTTCTGAAAGCAGACCTCACTGCATTCCAGACATCAAACAACAATAGAAACAGAAACTAAAGAGTGACAGAAAAACCTTGTGCTTAAAGTGAAAGCATTTTTTAAAATTATTACTGAAAATAGATCGTGCAATTATAAATAGCCTTCTTTGGCAATAATACAGAAATCCTGATGACAAGTTTTTCCCCTAAAGACATGTAGTTGTTCACGTACAATTGAAAATTCTGTCCATTTTTACTCACCCTCATGCTGCTTTAGACATGCATGCTGTTATTCAATCCATGAAATGCAAAAGGAGAATATTTGAAGAATCTTCTCAAAGTGAAAAGTGGGTCAGTGAACAAACCATTTGTTTGAGTCGTTTCTTTTTAAACTGGACTAAATGAATCCGAGTTCAATTCACCGATTCCATGATTCAGCCTCAGCGAAGAGGAAGATTTTAAGGCTTTTCCTCACACAAAGATGTTGTATGGCTTCAGAAGACTTACATAACATACACTACCATTCAAAATACATACTTTTTTGCTAATCAAGGATGTATTAAATTGATCAAATATGAGAGTAAAGACATTTCTATTTCATATACAGTAAATGCTGTCCTTTTGAATTTTCCACTCAAAGGATTCATCCTGAAAATGTATCATGGTTTCTACAAAAATAATAAGCATCACAAGAGTTTTCAACATTAATAATATAATTTTTTTTTGTTGTTGCAGATATTAGAATGATTACTGAAGGATCATGTGACACTGAAGACTGGAGTAATGATGCTGAAAATTCAGCTTTGTCATTAAAATGAATGAATAACACTAAGGTTTTAGATTAAAATAGAAAATAGTTACTTTAAACTGTAAAATATTACAAAATATTCCTGTGATCAAATAAATGCAACCTTGGTTGACCATAAGAGACTTCTTTTGAATCCTTAAACTTTTGAATGGCAGTATTTGTCATCTGAACTACGTCTACAGTGTTTTCTGTCACGTTTGGAGCGTAGGTCACTGTGAACACTTAATGAATGGAAAATGCTACTGAAATAGGCTACTCTTTTTTTTTTCTTCACACAATAAAGAAAGTAATTTGGTTTTGGAAAAACATGAAGGTGAGTAAATGACAGAACGTCTATTACGCCAATTATTTTTGGCTGAACAGTGACTTTTGTAATCCCTGTAATCTGAATTGAAAACAGAAGAAGAAGCCAAATTTCCTCACATTTTCCTGTACAACAACAGTAATAAAAATCGGATTACAACAAATGCACACAAGATGTTTCCGCACTCATTCTGCATGTGTAGTATTACACAGTTGAAAAGGGCAAGTGAGGACAGGACAAGACAGACAAATACAGGATACGCTTCATTACAGCAACAAACATCTCGGGTAGCGTGAAAACACTGCCCTTTTAATTTCTGTTTTGTAAAATCATCTCAAAGATCCTCTGACAATAACCATTTAGTCATTGAATTGCATCAGAGCAATGCAAATATGTTATGCTTGGTGACAGAAAAACCAAAGGCCTCAACCTAAAGTGTCAAATGCAGTTAGACAGTGATTGATGAGTGATGCAGGAGCACAGCAAGGCAATTAGTGAGGTTATCAGGACGATTATCTGGCGACTGGAAGAGTATTTGCGTCGGCATCACCTACCTACGACACCGAAACACTCTGCCGCATACGAAATAAAATCTGAAATAATGAATAAAGGAAGCAATCATGCAGGATTGCCATTATCAGTGGTGGGAGTGAAGCTGTGAGGGTGTGTGGCTGTGTTTGAAATCAAATAGTGCTCACTAATGGACACTGCACACAATATATACTACATACTTCCTTTTATTTATTTCTTTATTTTATTCTTTTTTGCAAAAGATTTCTGTACGTCAAAGAATTCTGATAAAGCTGCATAATGATTTCCACAAAAATATTTTCAACATTGATAAGAAATGTTTCTTAAGCAGCAAATCAGCATATTAAAATGATTTCTGAAGGATCATGTGACACTGAAGACGTAATGATGCTGAAAATTCATCACCGCAGTAAATTACATTTCAAAACATTAAAACAATTTAAAGTAACTGTTTTCTAATAATATTTCACAACATCACTGTTTTTCCTGCACTTTGATCAAATAAGTGGACATTAAAAAAAATAATAAACTCGCCTACCTTTGAAAGGTGTGTATAATATAAAAGTATGTTTGTATCTTTGTGTGTATATGTATATTAGTTTCACAAACTACAGGAAAACCACAGTGAATATTATATTTTTCCACCATGTTTTTTGACTACATAAAAGCCAAATGCAGTGATTTATCTCTGATTGCTCAATGAGAAGCATCAGCTGTGAAAATCTTATTTTTTTGCGGTTTGGCCCACTAGAAACTAGGCATGATGAAGGGGCAGAACTCATTAGCTATCTGCAGCATTTTTTCCAATGAAAATTAACCACTAAAAATTCATCTTAGCCATCACAGGAATAAATGACATTTTAAAATATATTAACATAGAAACCAGTTATTTAAAAATTTTATAATATTTCACAACAATACAATTTTTACAGTATTTTGATCAAATAAATGCAGTCCAGTGAGCACAAGAGACTTCTTTCAAAACCATACTGATCCCAAACTTTGGAAAGGAAGTGTACATACTGTGCACAGTATACATAATTTATAGTGCACATATGTGTAGTACGCTAGTATGCTTATCCTGGGTCTAAATGAAAAGAAAGAGAGCTCATATTATGTTTACTGTTTATGATGAGACACTCAGTGGAATAGTAATCCACACTGACTCACTGAACATTTCAGTAAAAAGAGACTGTTTTATTATTTTCTAATCTTCCAATGAAAATTAACCACTAAAAATTCATCTTAGCCATCACAGGAATAAATTACATTTTAAAATATATTAACATAGAAACCAGTTATTTAAAAATGTTATAATATTTCACAACAATACAATTTTTACAGTATTTTGATCAAATAAATGCAGTCCAGTGAGCACAAGAGACTTCTTTCAAAACCATACTGATCCCAAACTTTGGAAAGGAAGTGTACATACTGTGCACAGTATACATAATTTATAGTGCACATATGTGTAGTACGCTAGTATGCTTATCCTGGGTCTAAATGAAAAGAAAGAGAGCTCATATTATGTTTACTGTTTATGATGAGACACTCAGTGGAATAGTAATCCACACTGACTCACTGAACATTTCAGTAAAAAGAGACTGTTTTATTATTTTCTAATTAGAAATGGTGAAACTCAAGACAGCCATTAAATTTGTTATATCTGAACTGGTCAAATCCAGTGTTTAGGGAAAACTTTTAAGGAAACTTTTCTGATTCATGCCTAAAATTATATGTTAAGCTTGACTGTCATCACGCACCATTTCGTGACACTTAAATCCTTGCATAGCTGGGTTTTCAGGTTCACGTTACATGGCTTAAGGAATGGTGCTGCTAGCCGATCTTAAAGGGATAGTTCACCCTGTCATTAATTACTCACCCTCGTGTTGTTCGAAAACCATAAGACCTTCGTTCATCTTCGGAACACAAATTAAGATATTTTTGATGGAATCAGAGAGCTCTCTGACCCTCCGATAGACAGCAATACAACTGAAATGTTCCCAAGTCCAGAGGTGTAGCAAGGAGATCTGTAAAATAATTCATGTGACATCAGGGGTTCAACCGTAATTTTACGAAGCTATGAGAACACTTTTTGTGCGCAAAAGAAAAACAAATAACGACTTTATTCAACAATTTGTCTCCTCCTCATCACCCTGTAGTGCCATTTTGGAGAATATCCGCTGGACGTAAACAACGTATGCTATTCTGTGTCAGCTGCATCACGCCGGATCTGTTTCCTACGTTGTTGTGATTTGATTTGAACTAAAAGAGCATATCCGTGTGACACAGCTGACACAGAACAGCATATGTTGTTTGCGTCCAGCTGATACTAGGGCTGGGCGATATGTCAAAAACATTGTATCGATAATCGCATTAAAATATATCGCGATATCCGATAATATCGTCTACCCAAGCCCCACCTCCACCATGCCCCGCCCCCGCCGAGACAACATTGCGAGCAAAAACATTAAGGTTTTTTTTTCCCTTTCTGGTAGCCTAGTTCGGAGGTCTCTTTTGGCCCGTTTTTAACGAAATAAAAATAACTGCTTTATTTATTTAGAAGCAGGGTAATTTAGATTTCATTTTTGTATTTTAATTTTTTATAATTTTTATTTTATGAATCAAAATACAACGACCACAATATAATATACAGTATTGGGCTGCCGAATCTCCGAACGCGTGCGTGTTGAGTGGCGAGCTGAGATATAGAACTAGAATGTCTTCAACCGTTTGCGCAAATGAATTAAGAATTTATAGTGCTATATCTCAGCTTAATTAAACATAATTATACTGTATACACTGTTTAAAAAATCTGTAAAAATAGGGCACCATGTGCGCTGTAAAAATAGGCTGTGAAGGAATTTGTGTATTTTAATTATAACTCATGTTTGCGGTTTTTCATCATGCAATATGTTTAAATAAATATTCAGAAACACATGCAGTGCTACTATTTCTCTTTTTTTCTGTTTAACTTTTATTAAACAGATCAAAATAGAATAGGCCTATACCCTAAATAAAGATAAATTATATTGGAACGCATCTCCAAAATAATAACATACACAGATGCACGTTGCCATT